CTACGGGCCAAATTATTCCTTTTTCGTCTCTGTTTTCAAAGATAATAGAACAGAAGAGCTTTTTTCCTTCGATCGCCTTCAGCCGCCATGCTTTCTTCACCACGAGTTTAACTGATGAGCATGCGCACTTAATATTTCTCAGGTAGCTTCCGCATGGCGAACGGTGCCGAGATTTAATTACTGTACCCCGCAGGGACGACGTGTGGGGAGGCGGAGAGACTATTAAAAGATTAGGCGGTTTTTCTTTCATGTACGTCCGCCATTTTTAGGTCACCGGCTTTGTAAAGCCTGGCTTAATTCGTTGAGAATGCGCTCTTAGTCACCTAACTTAGGCTACTTGTACATAAATATTTTTTTCGAATCTGCTAGTGTTACTGGCCTTAAATTGAAGGTCTAGGTTTAAGGTTTAAAACCTCTCTCAGTCCCTGCAAGCCAGCCCTTCACTAATACATTTACCAGTAACTCCATCAATAATAACCAGGTAAGCAGAATGAGTTCATTATGATATTGAGGCTGAAAAGTAAGGAAATCAATGCACTCACACATTGATTCAATACCGGCCTTTCACTGTGCCACAAACAAATTACTAACAGGGCAGGATTTGGATGCTAATTTTCAGCGTTGGTCACACGGGGTTAGCTGTATAACACCTTGCTGTACTATTTCTAGCCGCCGTGAGGTAAAATCAATGGGAACTTTTTCAAATGGACTTTTGATACAGTTTAAGATGCTAAGATTTTTCTCTGGCAGGTGAGTTGGACCAGGGAATTATATCGGAGGGAATGGAAACGGGTGGCAGTCTATTGTCTATTGTTAAGGGGCGGGACAAAGTGTACGAGTGACAGGCCAAAGCGACGGGGGGTTCACCTGTGGAAATCCACAGAGCAGTCCGTTAACTTGCGAGAATACGCGAGTACAATCCTTAACTCAGCCCATCATGCTGGCATACGGAAACCGCGAAAACCTCAGAAAAAATACTAATACTCTTATGTTATCGACTGGTTAATTCAAAATTTGGATAAAAGAGACCACATTACACACATTATGATCATTGATACAGATTTTTCAATGAATTGACTATGTAAAAGCTGAGTTTTCCACAACGACGACCTAACGAAGCTATTTGGTTTACCTTCGACATGTATAAACAACAGTGCCCCATTAGGTGCCCTCTCAGGTATTGGATAACAGCACAGGTTACTTACGTGCTTATAGTAGGCCTATATAAAGTAGAAATTACAAGTTGTTTTTATTTTGATCAAAAGTTTAAATACAAATCCATGCTTGTAATTAGTTTTGTTGTCAATACAAGTAAAAAATTGTTTGTGATAAGTGTGCAAAATAAAAATAACAAGGCAGTTCACATGGTTTTCTTAAAAATCATAATCATGTCAGTGGAGAGAAAACGTCATTGGGTAAGTACTAGTAAGGCCGCTCTCTTGCACGTTGTAGACTGGAAGGCTGACTCCTTTACATATCATATTGAACAGGCGTACACCTTCATGGACATTTATTATCATCATGAATAGTGCTGACACAAAATGAAAAGTGCACACACAGGACATCTTTTTCTGTGATCAGAAATGTGTTGTTAATATTTCGTAGGAAGCATATACGATTTTTTTATCAGAATGTCATATACCTGTAAATTGTCTGTGTATTATCAGGGGCAGATTGAGGCAGTCTTCTGGGTCTCTCGGAAGACGGTCAGATTTTCAAGTTTCCATTGACGATAACTTAGTTTTTTTTTTTCTTTTTTTTTTTTTCGGATGATGTTGAATGGAGGATGGATGCAAATATAATTTGGAAGACTGTCAGAAAATATATCTGGATCCGCCCCTGTATTATGGATATTATTTGATTCTTGTATGTTATTTATTTGCTTGTACATGTAGCAGTATTATAGGATTTTGATAGAGATTTCAAATGTATAATAAGGATTAAATGTCAGACAGCAGTGTAAGATGCAATGGATGGATTCAATTAGTTAATTTTAATTTATATTCTATGCCGTATCTCTTTGTGATAGCAGCAGCCTCTGTCTGCCTGGAGTAGTAACAGAAGATGGTGACCTTTTCTTTTCCCCATGTTCATTGGCCATAACAGACCTGAAAAGAGTAAAAATAATAACTGTACATTTTCCCCTTGCATGATCATTCGGAAATTTAACGAGACAATTTTCTACAAGCATCACAGTCTATGTTTCAGATAGCTTATAATGTCCCCTGTCTGGACGTGCCATTTTACCTGACCAGGTAAATTTTGCAGGTATAAAAACAGTCAGACAATTAAATCACAGGTATAGTGTTTCAGACAATAGCAAAGATCACCCATAGAAATTGCAACCATGATAAGGTGTGCATCTAATCAGTTCTAATTACAGAGGAGGATATCATCAACAATTGTAGCAAAAAAATACTTGTACCCAATTACAAAGTGGTAAATATAGCAAGGTCCTCATGACATACACTGTAGATGTATACAAAGGAAGTGGTGATTTAATAGAACTGGCACAGCCCTGGTCATATAAAACTTTCTATAAGTAAGAAGCATATTCAGAACTTGCTAGAAAAAATCCAAATTGTTATTTCCCACTGACATTTCCATTAAAAATATAAAAACAAATTCAAAATTGTGTAAACACACGCCTGTTATATTCCATTCCCACAACGAGGTTGGTGAGCTAAAAAGTGCCACGATAGAGGAGTAAAAAACATAGAGTCCCGCTGTTAAACTGAAGTTCATTTGCACCCTTTCAGACTAGTCTTTCACGAAAAACAAGCTGTCCATTCATCATTTCCCATTAAAAATACTTCAAACGTGCAAATTCAAATGGGCATAAAATTGGGTCTAAACCACGTGACCAATGTCCGAATTTACAAAGTTCAATATAAGTCTGGTTCGCTTGTAAAAACAGCTGCGTGACAATCTGAACAACATAGCCCAATGCACGCTACATATATTTGTGTGTAAAATAAAAGCTAACATTAACATGTTTTCATCGTGCAAAGATCCGTAAACTGCAAAACCCCGAAAGGTGTGTTAATAGCGTGTGCTGACATCAAACTCGGGATACATAAAAGAAACAACAACACATTTATTTTGACCAGCCGAGACCACTTCAAAGTATCGATGTATGTAGAATACTTTATAATCGATATATGATTATAGTATATATATATGGGTTTAGAAATTAAAAAAAAAATTAAACAAATCCAAACAAGGAAACAAAACCATTATTTCTCTCTCTCTCTCTCTATTTATATATATATATATATATATTTAGATTTCAGATGTGTGAATTCGTACATGAATGATCCAACATACTGGAACGGCTACCGAGGACAATGCGGATATCTCAGAGATTCATGTTTCTTTCGACTATCATACTTGCCTCAGTGTTTCTTATTTCATGGGTGAGTCAAAGCAATGTGGTGAAGTACAGAGACAACGGGGACACAAATTCACAAAACAAGAAAAGACCAAATGCTTGGGTAGGCTTACCTGAGTCCCTAAGTTTTATATTTGAAATAAGGTATGCAGTTGTACGACCGAGAAATTACAGCCAGACGACTGGGAAGCGATTTGTGTATCTCATTGAAAGCCCTTCAAAGGGGGACATCAAAGGTTTACAAGAAACAAACGAACGTGACGTCATTTGGCTGACATTTGCAGATAGGTCAGGTGACATTTACGCCCCAGACACCTCCGCTGCTTCTGGAAGAAATGTGCTTCTGCAGCACGCGGTGAACTTAGCGTCCCAAATGAAAGACGGCGGTTATCTTTATTATATATTCATGGACGACGACCTGGAGCTTTCAGTTAAGTCGGATGGACAGGTCAATTGGAAACCTTGGCCCAAGATGGCCTCGGACCCTTTTCAGCGGTTCGAGGAGTTTCTTATGTATTACCAACCTGCTGTGGGGCACGTACGTTACCAAGATATGAGTAGACAGTTTGTCAATACAAAAGAGCCCGTGAACTTGAACTGGGATTTTGATGAGTGTTTGAATGCTTTCCACAAGGATACACTGTCATTTCTGGTACCTTACGATTTGCAACTAGACTGTGAATCGTGGTTCAATGGCGCCTGGATAACTCGTCAGCTGATTTCGATGCTGTATCATAGTTATCGCATTCAGTGCAACTCGTTGTATGTTGCTAATAGTATTTCAAATAGAATTATCTCAAAGGACAGGTACAAGCAAAATTATGATTACGAAATGCCTCGACACTACATCTCGTCTGCTTTACTGACGAAAACAAAAACTAACCCTCCCAAAGCCAACCCATTAATTGAAGCTGTATTAAAAGGAACGTCTTCGCGCCAAAGTCCAGGTACTCTACAGCCAGGTCCTTACATAAAGATTCCAGGGAAGCCGAAAGTAAAAGAGAACCAATCGTATCTTGTGACACCGGATTTCATCCTTCAACACTGGGACCATACCCACCCCATGATTAGAAAGAAATTAATGTGGTTGCAAAAACCAGAAATACAGAAAATCCTTGGACTAGAAAACCGTCTCCAGCAGCCATTTACACCCGATACATTGTACTGCTCAGGACCGAATAAATTTTCACTATTAATTGGACAATAAAATCAAAAGGCCTAACAGAATCTTTCCATCCAACTTATCTTCAAACGTCTATCTGCATTAGAGTCGATCATTTGAATAAATGTTTTCTTTTCATAAAATTATGATTAACTATGATCTAACGTCTTGCGCTACAGAGACAATGCTATACTGGTATTACATGATTATTTCTTGTTGACAAAGAGTATTTTGTAGAACATTATTCAAACACTAATCGCATGTGCTGTATCGGATTCACGTGTTTACGTACATGTGTAAGGGGTGTACAGGTTGAGATAAGAATATGAAAAAAAAAATCACCAAATCCTATGTAAGGAACTTTTTACACATATGAAATGATTCTCTACGCTTCATTTAAGTTAGTAAGCTTTTAATTGAAGGTTGGGCTCGAAATAAGACCCTTTGTTCTCCACTTAGCACAAAATGCAATGCAGAGACTCACGGTTCGCGTACGTACTGTCGATAAAAAGTACACATTAAGGCCGGTAATTTGATCTGTTCTTTTGTACCTGTAGGTGTTGTTGTTCAGCTCATTCTCATTTTAGGAAGAAGTCAGAGATGAGCAACAGTAAAGTGAGGTTAAATGTCGACTGCAAAGTTGCTTTATCGAGTAAAATGCATAGACATTGATGAGAGTGCTGTATAATTTTCTTTTGGATCTTAGTATGTGTGCGGACCTGGCCCGGAGTGGGTCAAGTTGGCATACTTGTGACATTCTGTTCGTGTTTGACAACCCGACTCGGAGCTCGGAGTTTGTTTTATACTAAGATTGATTTTGGCTTGACCCATGATATTAAACAGTATATATACCCGCAAGAAAACGCAGTAGATACTCCAGCGCAGTAGACTACTGCAATCATACTGCAAACATGCTTCAAATCTGCTTCGATTTGGGAGCTCATTAGCATATTTGAAACATGCTTCTATCATGCTGCTAATCTACTGCATTAATTCTCCTCCCTGTACAAACCTATGTACTTTTTGGAGTAGAATTGCAGTAGGCTATGCTGCATTTCTACCGCAAATATGCTCCACACCACCACTGCGTTAATGCTTTTTTGCTACTTCGATACTACTACAATGGGATCAGAAGCGGTTCACAACATAAGAGCTTGTCCACGAGAGAACCAGCCCAGGGTGGCAAGGTGGGGGTCAGCGGATTTCAACCAAATTTGTTGTATGGAGGCATATTAGGAAGTTATTCATGAGTAAGGAAGGAATCCCAAAAATATCCTTTCTTCAGAGAATTATAGCCTATTATAAGTCATGGCTTATGTAGCCTCTTTGAGACTCAATTTTTACCTTGGAAAAATAATGATATATTTTGTGTAAATTAAACAAAAATGGAGAAAACTAAAAAATATTAGACCTTACAAACATTGAAAACAATCATTTGGCTTGCCACAGATATATGTAGAATTCAGATAAGACCCTGCTTGGGCGAGCCACACCCATTTATAACACCCCTCCCCCCAAAGTCCAATTTTGACACTACCATCTTTAATTGCATATATCTCCATCTTCACAGGGTTTACAGCTATAAAACTGCATGAATATTTTAGGCAGATATGGNGGAAAGCCGTCTATAGAAATTTTTCCCATAACACCTTCCGTAGGGTAGATAATTAGCATTTAATTTTGCCATTTTTAGACAAGGGTGCATTGCAATGAGTGCCACACCCAGACCCCAATACCGACAAAGCCCAAATTTTACGTGGAACGAGTTGAGATTATAGGTGACCTAAATCCATGAGATGGGTATGGGGGCCCTTACCGTCTAGGAGGAGAAGCGGTAACGGTAGCCGTCCGGCGGAGCCGGCGGAGCCGGCGGAGCCAACGGAGCCGGCGGAGCCGGCGGAACGATCCGGACGGGACCGAAACCATGTGTACCGCCAGCGCTAACGCTGGTGGTACAATAAATCTTAGATTCCATTACTTTGGATAGGCACTGGCATTTAACTTGAGAGTTTACATGATAATTTTAATATATGTATATTTTTAATATCATCAATTTGGCGAATACAAATTAAAACCTTAGTTTAGTAACGATTTCTATTTGGTGCAATATTTATCATATAGAGATCAGGATATGCCATATAGTATTTATGAGATCAAAGCCAGAGCAAATCTTTTTTAATTTTCAAGAGTTTTTTAATCATCCACAACACTTTTTGGTGACTATTTATGAGCATACAGTAACTAAAAAATTATTAAAATTAGTTTATTGTTGTCTCAGATGAATAATTACAAATAATAAAAAAATCACAAAATTATAATACAGCAATACATGCAAAGCAGTGCAACATTAGTTGTGATCATTACAAACTATATCATAATGTAGCAAAACAAGATAATTTTCTATTAAAAAGCAAAACTAACACAACCGCAAAATATATCCTGCTGTTATGAAACATCTTTGCAGTTTTATATCAAACATTAAAGCTCATAACATCAAAGTTTTTAATACATTCAAAAATAACTGCAGATTTTTTCTTCCTAAATAGTCTGTAACCCTCCTTACTGACATTTCATTCTCATCTTCATGTTCACAAATGCTAGGTCCTGCTGGCCTGTTTCTTGTGCCCTTCTAAACTCCTTCAGTAAAAACTCCTTTACTTCATTGAATATAGTTTCAAAGGTTTAGATGACTTTAAAGCTCATCCATTGTGAAACTCAGTGAGATATTCAAGACTGAAGAGGGTGGAGTTCTCTCACAGCTGATGTGCTTTAAGTTTTTCTTTAGTCAGATTGTTGACCCACTAGACTTTAATTTGATCAAAAGCTGTTTTTTGGCACATTTCATAACTGTGGTCTAAAAAAAAAGGACCTTACAATTACTCTTCAGTCTTGGTAGCAAAAGATTTCAGAGAAGACTTCTCTGGACAAGAAAAAATTTCCTTGTTTGTGATCTTGCTCAGTATAGTCCCAGTTGGCACATTTGCCTCAGAAAAACCCAAATTAACTTTAACATCAGTATCACTCATATTAAAACTGCTCAAGGAAGAGAGACACCTTTCCTCATGTTGTAGGAATCAAGAAAGCCAAATTGTTGTAATCGGACACTCCAGTCCACGCAGGTTTGGAAGATGTCTGTCTAGCTGGATGTAGTAAATGGCAGCAAAAGAGCACCCCTCCACTCCATCTGCAGAAACTAGGGCCTCATGCATCTCCTCAGCATTTGTTATATTGTGGCTTTCATTTACATACATGCCTTTCTACAACATCCGTCATTTCCACACTAGTTTCAGTTTCTGCAAGGCTTTGGACTCTTTTGCTGACCATAAGATCACTGTGTGTCAAATAACACTTATCAAACATGCCTGAAATATAAATATAGCTTACTATAGACACATGAAAACGCTTATCTCAAAGTAAATTGATACATCGATGATAAATAAATTATTATACCATTTGTCCATGTTTTATAAGTAAGACATGGTTTCAAATATAAATTATGATGAGCCTAGCAATTTTGCCAAGACCAGCCCTAGCTTCAATCTAATTCCAATTGTTACCCTGAAATTTATATTACCCAAATACCCTTAAACCTACATAAATACCCACACAAATATAGCTTAAAAGATAGAATTATCACAGGTCCTTAGGCTGCAATTTCATTATTTGAAAGGGGGCATTTATCTTTTAAAAAAGAAAAAAAAAAGGACCGTTTACCATTAAAAAATTGCACCTAGATCATTTTTCTGAGTGAACTTTTTTTCTGGCTTTTAGCCTGTATTAAAATACAAACAAACCCGTTTCTTAATTACCTGAACCAAGTGGCACCATATTTCGTTATAGGCTTTTTTCCCTGTGTGGATGGTTTACAGCACAAACCAAGTCCATATCCCTATGCTGGTCACATGGTGTAACCCATTCGTTCTCCCAAAGATACTTGAAAATGTCCAATTGCGGTCATCGGTGATCGGAGACAAAAGAATCCACACCTGACAAGAATCAGTTTGCTTTCGTAACTCACGCTGTTTTGCTTCACGTAAACGCGACGAAGATGACTGTTAATATCTCTGTTGCAATTTTTCAACACACTACATATTTGTTCATATCTATAGACAGAGTATAAACCACATGATATACGACTTCATTAAGGATGTTTGCAAAGAAACAAGTCTGCGATTTCCGCCATGTTGGATAATGACGTTGTGTTGTTCTGACGTTAGTACATTAGTTTCACATGATTTTAAAATGTGTTAGATGCTTGTTTTAACCAGAAAAAAATTAGAATAGGTAAAATGAAAATAAAAAGATCAACTAACAGTGTTTTAAACCATTTATTGACTTGAAAGAGATAGCTGAAGTTGAGTGCACCAATATATATGTGTCCGGATATATTTACGAAAATGAAGAAATTAGGTCATGTTCTATCTGTTACAACGGACAAGTTGTAGAACAGCAGTAAGTTTTGATTTCATGTATAAATAGATTAATGAGTTATCTGTTAGTCCTGAACACGCTATACCCCAAAGACCTGTGAAGATGAAGATATTGTCAAAAATAGAAGGGGGGTGTTCAAAGCATGTGGTTTGTAGGCCTGAGAAAAACGCTTGGTTTGTTACCATGGAAACAAAGAGAGTGAAAAAAGTGTATATCATTTTAATCCACTATCTTTAGGTTATAATATATCACCAAACTAAATCATTCAGTGACACCTGTATAAACTTTAAGGCCAATCAATATAACCCTGTTTTTCAGAAGAATTTTTGGTTGATAAACCCCCCAAATTGTCACTGGCCATATCTCTGTAAGTAGGGATTTGTTTCAGGAAATATTGCAGCCTCAGATATTGTTCATATAAAGGTTCAAACACACCAAATATGGTGTGAATCCGTTCACCCCCACCTTGCCGCATTTCCTACATTTGGTCTGGTTTTCTCGTGGACACACACTTAATAACTATTTGTCAATCACAATTACACAAGCACCGACTACAGCAAAGCTATGGGGGGTTTGATTACGAAGAGATCTCAAGGGTATTCTAACCTCAATTGAAGTTGCTGTATCAACAGAGAATACAAAAAAGCAAATTCGACCTCTGAGATCTGAATTCTCAGTCTTATCTAATTGTCACCGGCCTTCTTTGGTGTACGGGTTAAAAGCAGGACGGAGTATCCCTCTCCTCCCCTCCCCACGCTCCTTTCAGCGTTTTTTTACTTCTTGATGAATGATGTTATATCCTCGCTAAAAAAAAAAAACAGGTTCTATTTTTTTACAAAAATTATATGTTTAATGGATCATCGCCTTTTTCATGAAATATACATACCTGCTTGATTCCAGCACAAAAAGCATTTCAAAATGCAATGAAATATGGAGAAGAAGAAAAAAAAAATCCCCCAAACAAAACTAAGTAAAGAAACTGGTTTTAATTACAAGTTACATCTGGTCCAATATTTATTTCGAGCAAGCAAGGTTCCAAAGAACTCGTCTTGATACAAGACCATCCAAACACACAATTATGATATTCCGTTTCCGAAGATTAACGGCCAAAATACCGGCATTTAGGTATTGAGTTGATACATTTGACATCATTCAACTTGAAAAAACCACAAGCAAATAGCCTGGTGTGAGCTTACAGCCAGCGCACTCTCCGAAAAATGGGCTGAGCTACCAGGTGTCTGTGGTATCGGCCATTTGGTACCTGTTTCACAAAAAAGTTCGAATATTTTGGGTTTGGCTCAACGTTGTTGAAACTAGAAAGCCAACTGCAGTAAGTCGGTATTTACCTTAACGATTGGTCTATAGTACATGGATGGTGTTATATATTCACGAAAATTGCAATTTCCCACAGAAAAAAAGCATAGTCACAACAATCAAGATATCTTTATTGACTCAGTTAAATAACTTAAAAACGAGATAAGCGACCTTTTAGATCATTTGCCAAACGCAACATATACAACTTGAACCATTTCCATGTTGCAGTTTTGTAGAGCAAGGGGTGCTTTGACTCGATATCAGGTTTAAACAATTAAGATTTTTACTCTTTATGGGTAATATGATGGGTGATGCTCATGACCTGGACAAGCTCACTGATTCACCATATCAGGGCTGTGTAAGCTGCCTTTAACTACCAAACACGTATAGAATGAAATACAACTACTTTTCACGATTCATATTTTATTTCAGCATAAAATGTTAACAAGCTGATTGCAATATGTACATGTACAATCTAGGTTGTATTTAATTTACTGAAACGCTGTCAACGTTTAAAAAAGCAAACGCCTTCATGTCAACGAATCGGTTAACTTTCTTTTGTTGACTTTTTTGCATGCTAATGTCACTTACGTACACATTTCCTCTAAATCTTTCCTATTGTTCGAATTTATGTTAATGCTCATATTTTATGTAATTCATGGGTTCAATACGTCGTGTTTATGCTCAATAACTTCAAAGAGAGGTTTTGGGTGAAAGGCACAATTTGTAAAGCAACCTGCACTACGACCCGCACTTTTGAAAAGGGACAGATATTAAGTAAATCGAGACATCAAATTTAATCCCGTCATGGGGGTTTTTAAATGTTAACATCAATAACTGAACGCCAGTATAGAGGAAGGTCAAACCTTTCTATATAAGAAAAAATTGAATATTTGTGACAATAAGTGTACAATGACATTAAATGAAAGCACACCTGGTGTTAGCACGCAATGTTACAAGTTCAATATCTATCATCTGCTTCCAGGACCAAAGTTTTTGCAAAAAGTAGGATCATATTTAGCAATTAGTCGGGTTTTGTACCCATGTTGGCACGAGCAGTGTGGGGGGATTGATCGAATTATTTTTAGATTAATATTCATCTTACTAAATCCACTTGTGCAGCATGAATAAAATACACCAATCTCTCCTGGTAACAGAACAAACAGAACATCACATTTAGTAAACTGCAGATTTACTACACCAGACTAATAACTTCTCTTGGTGGACATATAACATCAAACCAAGCTCTATCCCTAGTCTACTTGTATGTGTGACTCATACATTTTTCATCATGTGCCTGTCTGGCCACAAATCTAAGTCCAACTGACTTGCTTTAATGCTTTCCTTTCGTCCCTTTTAACCTTTTAACCTTTCTCCTTCCTTCCTTCCTCATAATTCACAGCGTTGAACGAAGCTAATAACACTGCACGCCTTGTATTACACTGTCCATTGGTCAATAATATAGTTTAAGTAAATAATGGCAAAGACCACTTCGTTTTTCCAGTTGTCTGATGTCTAGTTCACGCACCTGCTTCCACGTATGAGAGACACATTAAACAGGAGAGAGAAACAATCCTTACTCCCTGTTCTCTCTCTCCTCCTCCCTTCACCTACCACANGATGGCGGCCATCTTGGATTTTAGGCACAAAATGGCCACCAATTGCTTCCAAATGATCAAAAATGGGTTCCTTGTCACTAATTTAGTCAGGTTTGATAATCTATACATGTTTCTAGGCCAAAAATTAATGGAAATATGAAATATTATATATTTTGGCACATAATTTGCATAATTTATGCTAACTAATGTATCGATAGAGGGCGTCTCTTTGGATAAAAAATTTTCTTTTGGCCCAAGGAACATTTATGCCAAGTTAGACATTTGTACTATAAAATGCAGCGTTTGACGCGAACTTTGTAAAAAATCAAAAGTTTTCTGTCTGATAATCCCACCAAGCTGTGATACAAACCAGGGAAGAAGAGTCCGCCTGTATGCAAGTCAGCAGCGTTACCACGCAGCCACGACAGCTCCGTTGGTACGAATTGATCAGATGGAAACTTTCAACCTCCTCACGGAGAGCGCCAGATTGGGTGTACATGTGTAGACCTGCTGTCGCAATCGATAATCCGGGTGCCGCATTTCAGCCCACGGAACCCCAGCCCCTGACATGAACGGTAAAGTTCATGACGTACACGAAGTCGTTTTTGACAACCCGACTCGGAGCTCGGAGTTTGTTTTATATTCAGATTGAGATTAGTTAGATGACTTTGAATGCTTTTATTTTCATTTGGTTTTGCATTGAGATAACGTTTGGTTTCACTTTTGACGTTGTGGAGCATGATGACGTCCACAGCTGTTCACACCTCGGCAGTTTAAGTATTGAGTAGTCTTTACTCTTTCAAATGTCGACTGCTGACTTGCCCCGGGTACTGTATGAACATATGAAAAGTCTTGAGAAGCAAGGGCCCAAGATAGGAAAGGAGGGGCATTAAAAATAAAGAAACAAACAAAACTGATAAAAAGAGTAGCGGTGACGCAAATTTTCTCTTATAGTAAAAAATCAAAAGTTTTCTCTCTGATAATCAAACCAAGAAGATAGCACATTTTGATGAAATGCAAGCCATACGGAGTTAGTTATAGCTCAATTTAAGTTCAAGATCTATGGCACCAATATAAGTGCGATTGCAACCATGGGCATTTTGAGTAAAACATATTTGGCAAATGATTCCTCCGAGGAGATGTCATTTTTCTACCGAACATGGATAACATGTGGTATGATGTGCTTTAATACCGGAAAAGCTACAGAATCAAAACAAGTTGGATCGTATTCACTGATAGGCCTGCTCTGTACGTTCGTAGTAAGATGACTTCGGATGCTTTTATTTTCATTTGGTTTTGCATTGAGATACCGTTTGGTTTCACCTTTGACGTTGTGTCAATGTAAACTTGAAAATCTGACCGTCTTCCGGAAGACCCAGAAGAGCGTTAAACCAGATTTGAGATTTTATCAGAAATTATGTTTGTGAACATATTTTTTTAAATCTACAACCTGGGATACTACATTTTAAAACTTTTTTAAAGTCACTCAGTGTCATTTCTTTCGTATTTGTTTTAAAATTATATTTCAAAATATTTATGACTCCTGTGTTTTTCCATATTCCTGGCATTTATAATCATTCGCCTTTTGGGGGTCCTGTGTGGGTCCTGGCGAATCTGCAGTTATCCACTCTAGAACAAATGATTTGCAAATTCCCAAAATGCACTATCCTTGTCGAGAAAATGACATAAACTGTAACATATTAAGTAAGTTTTATTTCCAGTGCGGTTTTTACCATCCTCGCTTCATACTGGTACATGTGTTGAACGATGGTGAGATTCTCCCATTGGGCTTCTTGTCAAATTTCACCGGTAGGTGTCGTTGACTAAGGGTTGTATTTAGAACGTCACTGGTAAAAATCGATAAGATGTTGATTCATAACAGGTGTTTGGTCTGAAACAAGGAGAAGTTACACAGGTAAGGTACTTTGGATAGTAAACAGTAGCAGAACCTTTTTCTAAAATTAATTTTCAATTCTTTATTTTAAAATTTAATATTCGGAACCCATGCCAAAGACCTTTTTCAGACATCCAATAAAAGGGTAAATGATAATTCATACATGTTACCTGCCGAAAGGAACCCATGCATACAGCATTGGTCAAAAAGGTTGTCCCACCCCCATTTCCATGTACTTTTATTTACAAATGATCACCTAACAGCTGTTAATTGTTAGAAATAGTGTTTTTTATTACGTATACCGTGTCTAACATTTTTAATGGTTTAAAAAAATACAAAATAGTGGTGAAAATATACATATTTTATACCATTTAGTAAAATTTATAAGAGGTACCCCCTCAAATCGACTGTTTCACTGTGACTTCTAAAGATGTAA